ATTTAAAGGTTTCTTTTTGTCCTGTTACTTCTCACATTTCTTCAATTTCATGCTCTGAGTGGGCCTCCTATAATTGTGACCACCCAAGACATTTATTATCCCATGTTGCAGAGACTTTTCCTAAGACTGTGTCTATAATGGTAAATGAAACCACAGAATACCATAAATAAATTAACAGATAAATAAAAATAAAAGTGAGACAGTTGTTCTGATAAGAGGAGCCATTGGGTAAAAAAAAAAAAAAAAGATTCCAGAGTTAGCTATGTAAGGGCAAAGACCGTGTCTTTTTTTTTTTTTTAAATCCATCCTTGCTACTTTGCACAGCTCTTGGACTAAGCCACGGTTCTCAGACTCATGCTTATTGAACAAGCGAATAAAAACAACAATCAGCAAACTACTTAAAAACGACCTTACCTTGGCCCTGCTGCTTCTAAATTTATCTCATCGGGTTTTTTGTCCTTTGACAATAAAACTGTAATTACGGTTTCAACTTCTCCATACCGACACCACTCCTGAACCTATTAATAAAATACTCAGCTGAAGGCTGTCGATGATCTACTGACTGAATGCAATGGTCCTTTTCGCCACTAAAGTCTCTGCAGCCCTTCACACCCCTACCTGCCCCTCTGGAGGTGAATCCCCTGCCTTCCATTCCCTACCACACTTTCTCTCCCGCGGCTTTCTGCGAATGGGAGAATGCCACTCAGTCCGGTTGCCATCCTGCTTCCCCAGAGAGATTTGCCTTTCCTGTTAAGCCAACGCTTTCTCTCTTTTACATGGAAATTGTGAGTGTCACGTCTATGGGATTTGCTCTCAGGTCTACAGAGGTCCAATCTCACTCTCCCAATGGCCCAAGGTCAGTGGGTCATTTGCCTTTATCTGATTCAGCAGCATCTAATTTTTCTCTCCATGCAAGTTACTCTTGTTGAGCAACTATCAATCATCTCAGCCTTCCCATCTCGAGACATCAGGGCAGTCTCTTGTCTCTCCTTATTTTACGACCCCCCATCCCATTTTTAATCAACTCCTATGATTTCAGCTTTTATAATGATTGTGCTACCTATAGCACAAAAATGCATTTTCCCCCACTACTACTGCTCTAATATATGAATGTTGCAAAAGCTCCCCAACTGTCCTCTCTTGTTCTAGAATGTTCCTGCTGCAAGCTAGCCTTTAAAACATCCCCTCCCCCCCAGAGTAAACTCCTTAAAAGGCAATCTCTGCCCCTACCCTGTGCTGAAGACAAGAATGAGTCCAGTCAGAGCATACCCACCCAGCGGGTGTGTAGTTCAGGCTGTCCTGTTTCTCCTTCTCTTCTATGAATCATATGGATCTTCTATTCACTCACCACATGAGTGTTCTCAGAGTTTAGTGTGAGTATTATCTACAAAAATCTCACTTACCAAAGTGGCCCTGAAAATGCAGGTTTCTAGAACTAACTCAAGACTGACTAAACCTGAACCCCAACGTTGAGCTCCAGGAGCATGGGCTATTTTTTTTTATTTCAGCATATTATGGGGGTACAGATTTTAAGCATGGGCTATTTTTAACAAGCTACCTGTGTTATCCTTATTACGCACCTTGAAATTCCAAAGCCTGTGCCTATTTCACGTCTATTTCTCTCTTCCAGACTTTATTCACTTGGAATAATCTCCCACTTCTGCTCTTCAATGCCCCATGAAAAACCTTGTTCATCTAAGAAAAAATTGTTCTCATCGTCTCAACAGGAAGGAAGTATGCTATGCCACTTGTATGCTTTGGAGATGATGGCATAGATCGTGTATTGAGTTGGACTTTAATAATTGAAGAGCCTTTGTTTATCTTCTTGTTAGATTTTAAATGCCTTCTATAGTACGCACATTTATCTATCTAATAATGATTAGTTATTAATAAAATGGTATGTATTACTATTGCACTAATAATTTATTGTTCTGCATAAAATATTTCCATTTCATTTGAACCATTGTATTAGAGTCAATGTGAATTAGTATCACCCAACAGTGTCTCTGGCCTCACCAGGGTTCCATTTAAGTTTGTACATATCACCTCCCGGGAACGTGAAGATAATAACACAACGTGGTTGATAGAGACAATAATATGAAACATTAAAGAGGGCAAGTAGCGTAGTATAGATTATTTCTCATGTTTCTTCCAGTTCTGCTGTACAAAATCCAACGTATATATTCTTCTCCAAACCCTATTGTTTGAGATCATTTTATGACATTTCCGCCCTCATTTTGTCATAATTAGATAGCAAATGGAAGCGTGACCAATGCTTCCCTTATCTCTTCCAAGGATCTTGGACCTAAAACTCTGTAGCGCTTTTGACTGGGCGGCAATCCGCCCTCCCAACCTTTACAAACTGGTGTGTTCGGTTTCCTCTTTTCCAATCCTGGTCCCCTGGGAGGGATGTTGGATTAGGAAAAAATACAAACTCATAAAATTATACATTCCCTTTTTTCTTAAAATGATGATCTTGTCTGGCTAAGATTTTTTAAGTTTACTTTTCAATTATTAAAAAATTCTCAAGATATTAAAGCGGGTGCAAATGTTTTTGTTACATGAATAGCTTTCATAATGCTTAATGGGCCTTCAGATACAAATGAAGATGTGCTAGTTTGCTCTCTCCTAAGCCACAAATTTCTCTGGGAAGAGATCTGCTATCCAAAAATCCTACCCATCAACCAGGCAAAAGACTCAAGATTTTGTCCATAAATCTGAACCATCCCTCCCAAGTTCCATTTATTATGCACTTAGAAATGACTTATCCTTGTACCAATTTCTCTTCTCTTCCCTTTCTCTTCCACTTCTTTCTCTCTCTCTCATTCGTGATTTCATTTCTCTAGTGCATCCGTTCTTGCAATAGTCACAGAAATATTTACCTTGGTATCAGAATGGTCTTTTCCAACTCATTCTCCCTGTTACCACCAGATTGACTGTTGTGAAAATATAAATCTAATTATTAATATTTCCTCCCCACCACCTGCTAAAAATAAGATTGGCTTCCCCTCTTCCTATAGGATAAATTTCATCTTTCAGCGTGGCATTCAAACCCCCTCATAATTAGATCTCTAAACCTGTCTTCACAGTCTTTTTTTCGAACCCTCTGGCCTGCCATGCCAAAGCCTCCCCGTCTCCAAATCCCCCTGTGTATGTTATTGCTGCTGTGTCTTTTCCCGGGCTGTTTCCATGGTGTGTCTGTTTACCTCTACTTCCCTGCTGCACCAATCCCACCTCCGAGGGGCCCTGTGAATTCAGATATATGACTTTAGCATACCTTCCTGGCATCCTATTTTTTCTCATGCCATTGGCCAGCTTCTCCACTAGACTGTACACTTGCTCAAAAATAAATGGATGTGTCTTGCTCACAGATGCATTTTTCAGTGTTTATGACTGTGCCAGTGTTTAAAAAAAATACTTGATGAATTTATAAATCTATCAATTAATTAATACATTCTTGGCAAAGCCAATGATTTTCCGGCTTACTATAAATTACTGTGGTCAAGTTGAAGTTCTGCCTTTAAACTATAATTCAGGATAGAGATATCTATGTCTATATCTACATATCGGTATCTATATCTACACATGCCACTGATCTGGGGGATAAGCTATATATTGATTAACGATGCTATTATGTTAGTGGATCTTTAATATCTGAATAATGATATTAGAAGGATATATATATATATATATACATATATATATATGTTTCTCAACATCGATCCAGTAATAGAAACACATCACATATACACATCTATGTATAGATAAATGTTTTTCTGTTATTGGATATAGATACCTATGTCTCTGTGTAACAGATTCACAGAACATAACTGACTCTCCAACATGGCAATGTTAGGAGGGGTGGAGCCGTGATGTAAAACTGGGTCTCCTGACTCAGTGTCCATCCTCTTCCCTGTTATTGGTCATGGTTGCCCAAGAGACCCTCTCTTAGAACTTGCCAGAAAACCCCAATGACATCACTGTGTCAAATCATCATGGAGAACTGGGTGATGCTTACTTACCTCTACTGCCTAAAGCAGAAGCAATTAGGAGACTGTACTATGTGTTAGGGACATTGTCTTTTTCCTTCTATAAATAAATTAACTGATCTTGAAATACTTTTAAGGAAAGCTAGCAGTTATTTAGGGCTTCTTGCATGCCAAGGCCTACATTAACTCAGCTGGTCATCACAACAATATCATGAGGCCATTGCTTTTATCTTCTTCATTTTACAGGTGCAGAAACAGAGATAAAAAACGTTTCAATGCACACCTAAGGTCCCTGGAAACTGGAAGCCAGGCAACGTGGTGTTTACAGTCTGTGATCATGGCCACAGCACTCTGTGAGGTGCTCTGGTCCATCAGCTAGGAACTTCAAACATTGCCAACTTGAACTGAAAGCCAACTTCCTCTAACCCAACTTCATATGCAGGGTCACGGCACCCAACTTGAACTCGGCTGGGAAAAATAAACTCCCAGGCTCCGAAAGTAAAGCAGGGTATTTAAAAACAACCCACATGCCTGCCACATCTCCAATATTTTCATTCTCAAACCCGTGACTGTGTGAGAAAAAAAATAAATAAATAAACATAAAGCCTCCATCCATTCCTCAACCATCACCTGAACATAATAGAGGTCCTGTCTTTACACATCTGCATTCCAATTTTGCTGCCCTTAACAAAAAACAACCTTTTTGCTTTGGACGTCATTGCTTCCCAATAGAACCCCAAGAACTCAGACGCATTTCATATGGGTAGGACCCCCCACCGTCGCTGCTGCTGTAGACGGTGACCTTAAAGAGTTAAAATGTTTGCAAATACAGTAGCGTGTTTGGTGTGAGAGGCGATCTGGCGCGGAGCCCTGGAGAGCCAGGGAGGAAGGTTTCGTGTGCATCTTCTGGTACCTTGGCGACCAGTGGTGCGCCCACCTGCGCTACCTCCCTGGTCCCCGGGATCTCTCCGTTAACCGCTGCTTTGCGACGTTGATTAGCTGGTCTTTGCGTCGGGTTGTAGCTGTGGCTGCGATTTCTGTAGTGATGGGGCCGACTCCGGAGATCTATTGGCTGCTGGCTTTGTAAATTTCATTCAGCCTGGTCCAATAGCAGAGGGAGAGCGCCGGAGACAGCAGGACCTCTCTCTTCAATCTCTCTTTTTCTTGCGGACCCGTCTCTCTCCCTCTCTCTCCCGTCTCTGTCTCTGAGCACAGAGCTCTTATTCAAGCCCTCGCTCGGCCCTTCCTGCTTCAATTGTGATGGTTTTTCTCCCTGGCCGCAGACCATTGACGACAGAAACAACGAGTTTCCTCCGAACGGCCGTGTCGGGGGGCCCTTGCATTCCTTTGGATGAGCACATCTAGCTGGGGGTGGGGTGGGGGGTTCCAGAAAGCGAAGTCGCCTGGACTACAGACATCTCCTGAATCATACCCCGGGGTCGGGTTCCCTGCAAAAATCTGGATGTGCCAAAAGAACTCTTAACCTCCAACGCAGCTTTTCCGCGGACAAGGTAGGTGCAGTTTTAAGATGTGTCTCTAGGTTGTTATTTATGATTATTATTATTATTTTAAAAACCCACTGGAACATTTTTGATTTAGAGTTGCTCTCCAGAAAAGGATGCGATGTTTCACTGCAGACGTTGGAGCTTCACTCCATCTGACATTTATTTATTTATTTTTTTTCTTTCTTTCTTTTTTTTTTTTTTGTAAAATTTGGACATGACTTTATCCCATCTGTCTCGCTCCATTTCGTAGGCGTGGGTGGGTGCCTGAACATATATGTACGGGTTGTCATGTGCCAGCGACATGAAACCTCTCCGCGGAAACATTTGATTTTTTTTTTTTTTTTAATTTTCACTTAAAAAAGAATAGTAATCGGAACCACCGTGGTTTGGAAGCTTTCTGCTGCCATCAGCTATTTATTTGAAAGGCTCCGGGGCCGTGTGTGATGTGTTTACAAAGTAGTGCTGCCTTACATACAAATAAACAGAAGAGTGTGGCGGAGAGAGGAGGGAAAAAAAATATATATATATCTGCAGTACAGGCAGAGAAGGAGCGAAGCGCCAGTTCTCTGCAAGCCAGAGCTGGAGATGGGGAAGGCAGCAGGACTTCTGCAAACTGTGAGCAACCGGAGGCTTTTCTTTTCTTTTCTTTTTTCCTCCTCCTTCTTTAAGAAAACTGCCAGCTACCACCGCCTGGGGGGCTTCTGCTTTTTTCTGGGAGGGGTGGGAGGGGGAGAGGGGGAGTTAAGCAGAAAGGAAGAAAAGGGAAAACAAGCTTGGCTGGGGTTGCATTAAGCGATTTTTTTTTCCTCCTTCATCTCCTGGCCTGGGATAAAATGACGGCTTGTGTGATGCACGAAATAACGCACGTGATTGATTAGGACCTGGCTTGGGTTTGCCGGGGAACAGTCTGGGCGCGCTGGAGACGCGGGGCGAAGACGGAATGACGGTAGCTCTGCGCGGCTTCTGCCAAGCCGGGGAGCGGGCTGCAGGCGCCCCTTCGCGCGCGCGTGGCTGTGTGTGTGTGTGTGTGTGTAGGTTGGTGGGGGCGGGGGGGGGCAGGTAAGCTGCGGAATGGGGGAAGCTGCTGCTTTTGCTGCTTCTCCAGCCTTGGAGTCTGGCCTGGACCTTTCCGCGGGCGCGCAGCTGCAGCCCGGGGAACGGTCCCCGAGCTACCCGCTTTTCCGGAGCACCCGAAAAGTTGGCAGCTGCAGGGACAGGCGCTGGGCACCCCGGCCCGGGTCTCAGGAGATCCGGAGCCCCAGTCGGTGCCCACAGAGAACGTCCCTTCTCTGGGCAGGGGACCAGGGCAGAGCCTGCGGGGCGCACCCTGGCGCCAGCCCCCGAGGAGGGGCGGGTGTGGGGGTTGTCGGGGGAATCGGTTCCAATGGGCGGACCGCCTCCTTAGCCTTGGACGGCACAACAGTCATCCTCCCCCTCCCCACTCCCGCATCCTAAGGCTCTCAGCTGTCCCGGGCAGACATCATCGGGTCTCCCCCAGCCATTCCCGCGAGGCCCCCTCCCACTCCGGGGGGCTGCGCGGATGGCCAAGATCCTCGGAGCGCGCAGCCCGCGGCCCGGTACACCGCGGGGTGTGGGAGAGGGGCCCGGAGCCCGCCGAGAGAGCGGGTGAACTTGAGTGTCGCCTCCTCTCCGAGGCCGCGGCGGAGGCGCCCCCAGCCTGCGCCCGCACGCGCGCGGCCGGACCTGCGGGAGCGCGGGCGGGGGTGCGGGGAGGGAGGTAAGTGCCGTGGGGCTGCAGCTGACGCGTGGGTGGAGGGCTCGCCGTGGGAGGAGAGGCCCCGGTCCCCGCCTGCGCCCTCCGCTCCGGCTGCTCTGTCTCCCTCCCGTTTTCCAGGAGGCCGGTCGCCTTCCCTGGGGACGTTCTCATCCTTCAGTTACTCTCCTGGACGCCCCCTTCCTCCCTGCGCCCCCCAACCAAACCTGGCTTTTTCGCCCCCCTGCAAGAACCGGTAGGCTCGAGTCCCCCGGCTAGGGTCGCCCGGGCTTTGAGCCCCAGGATCGGGGCCCCGTGCCCCGCGCAACCCTGGGCCCGGGCGCACCATTCCGGCGCCTGCTGGCCGCCAGACACAGCGCCCTTTCTTCCCGGAGCGGCGGGGCGGGGGCGGGGGTCACGCCGAGCCCTGCACCCCGGAGGCCCGGCGCGGACCACCCTGGGAACGGATGTCCCGCCCGGAGGGCCGGGGGCACCCTGAGGAGGACGTCCTCTACCTACACCCTCCCCTTCCCCAGAAGGATTATTTATTTTTTTTTGGCTGCGGGTTTCCGATTCTCTGGCTCCTTCCTCTGAATCGCCGGGCAGGCAGGTGCGGGCCTCTTTTTATTTATTTTGGGTGGCACAGTGCTGCTGTCCTGGGGGTGGCGGGGGAGGGAGCCTTGGTGGCGGTGGGGTCGATTAGGAGGCGGCCGCGGGGGTCGGCGCCCTCCGTGCGCGGTGGCTGCAGCGCTGGGCGCGCGCGCGGCAGGAGCTGGACCGAGCGCACGGGCCGGTGCGGGGCGAGCCGGGACGGAGCATCCCGATCTGTCGTTTGGACCCAACTTGAGAAATTCGGGGTGAGGGTTGGGTGGGGGGTATTGAACTAAACAGGTGCTGTTCTTGCGAGCAGAAGCCACAAGGTGGTAGTATGGATTCTTCTTCGGATTTTCATTTTATTTTATTTTTTTCCTCTTTGTACTGCGGGGTGGGTGTGGTGGTGTTGGTGGCGGTGCGGTTCCAGGTGCGCATAACGGATGTTTTTTGAAGGGGTGCATTGCTGACCGGGTTTCGACACCCGAGCGCGTGGCATTTAACTGTTTTCTCAAACAGGGGGAGTCGTGTGTGCACGAACTCCAATCTCAGCATCAGCCCTTAACGCGGTGGGAGGCACGCGAAGCAGAAAAGAAAAGGGGGGGGAAGGAAAGGAAAAAGTTTAGGGAGACCTGGTTATCCTGACGAAGCAGAATTCGCCACGTTGTGTAGGCGTTCTGCGGGCCACATATCAGTGCATGCTTCAGAAATCGCGGGCAGGTACCTTCCGCGCTAGACATGAAATGGCCAGGATGAGGAGACCCGACTTTGATGGGGAACAAAGGCTTCCCAGGCTGCCGAGAGACCTGCCTGGTTAGAACCGACTAGCTTGGCGCTTTCCCGGCGAGAACGGCGGAGCCCGCAGGAGACGGGATCGGCTTACAAAGAAATCTGCATTTCTGTGGGGGAAGATTTGGAGAGTGGAGAATTATTTCATACCTTTAGTTGGCTGTGGGGAAGACGTTAACAGTAATCCTCTAAAATCCTCCTAGTAGATTTTCCTGTGTAGATGGAACAGAATGGAGTTGTGTGGAGGAGGGTGTGCGGGCGTGCTAATGGTTCCTGGTTGTCTCAATCCCTTATTTCCAGAAAAAAAAAAAAAATTCGGAATTTCTATTGGTCCTGAAATTCAGAACATACGAATTTTATGGAGACATTTGCAAGCTTGCATTGTATTTTCTCAGATTAGCAATTCGGTATTCTATTATGCAAGGAAATGTAGAATGTGTATCTATCTGTATCTGCATTTGCATCTGTATCTATCTATCTATCTATGGACATTTTAAAGAGTCTGTTATGTGACATATCAGAATACAATCAGGGCCAATTGTAGCAAGTGGAAAATTACTTCATCAGTTTTAAGTCACTGGATTAAAAGAAGAGGTTCGATTTTCTTTTTTTTTTTTTTTGAAACCAGGAGGTTAATTACATTTTCATCATAATGCCTGTGCTTGCATGCAGTTTTAAAGGTGCTTGGATATTTCCTTCTTGGGTGGAAAAATTGTTGCTTCCCTTTGCATGTGTGTGTGTATGAGTTTTTAAAAAAATAAAATAATGCAATGCCGGATATATAGTTAGCTCTAAAATCAGTGGCCTTGGCTGATTTTTTACCCAAATCTAAGAATAGAAAAGATATTTGATAAGGGACTGCTGACTGCATAAGGTAGATAGATACTGCAGGTATCTGGATGCTGTGAACTTGACCAGGAAATAAACATGAATGTATTTGGAAGTTCACAGTTTTCGGCCTGGAATGCAGACTCATGATAAGTTTATGGGGTTTTTTTTATTTATTTATAAACTTGATCATTTTATTTTGTGTGTGTAGTAATTTGTGCACAGCTTATGGCTCTCCACAAAGATGAGAGGGTTGAGTGGCTCCACAAAGAGGTTGCTTTCAGAATGTGCAGTGGTCTCTATTAAGAACTCTTTAGAATACTCTGCTTTCATCTCCAGACCCCAACAGAAAAGGTTCTCACAAAAGTAAAATGAAATTCAAGTGCTTTGGAGAAAGACCTGGCTTTAACATTCTTCCGTTCTAATTGGTACTTCCTATTGCAAACTTTCCTTACACGGTTGCTTGTCATCAATAATGCAACTTGTTGACTGCGTTATATTCAAATGAAGTCATGGTATGACAATGTTTCAAGTCCTTAATACCCTGGCTCTGAAGATAGGCTTATCTGGTTAAAATAGACGTAAATTCCAAATACCACCGTGAGCCCCGATTTTAATATGTGCAAGTCAAATGTAAGGAACAGAATTTTAGTACTAATATGTAAACCAGCATGTATACTCTTTCTGTACTGCTTTCTGCCTTTTAACAGTATGTGTTAAGTTCCCAAATGAAAAAATATATATATGTTCAGTTTAGTTTAAATCAGTTCCCCCTTTCTTTGTATTTGTTTGTGGATACTTTGTATTTGTTTGTCTTTTAGAGGACAGACTTCATCTTCTACTTAATTATGCTAATGAATTTTCTGACAGGCTGTGCCTTCTGTGCTGACCCCTTAGACTCCTTAGCTACGAGTCTTCAATCAAAGATGCAGCTTTTGCCTAGTCAGTGAGGAAAGGAAGAATCAAAATTGAAGTCCACGTGGCCGAGGCAGTATTAGGTGGTCCGTTGTGCCCCGGACTGCCATTCACTCAACGAATATTTTCCAGTTTTGTCATTTTTCTCTAAACAACCTACATTTGGCCT